AATATTTTATTGAAATAGCATAGCAAACAGCGTACAGTAACTATACAGTTATAATATTGTAACTTGAATTGTATATATGGAAAACAAAGAGATTACCTATTTAAATTATTGCATAATACATTTTTAGCATTTAAATATTCGTTCGCTGATTCATACAAATCATATCATTTTAAAATTATTAAAAAAAAAAATCCCCTCGAGTAAAAAATTCTACCCAATAGGTTATTAATCTTGAAAATATGTATAATATATGTATATATATATAAGAAAAAATATATGAATAATGACTTATATCTATATATTATTATAAACAATCAACAAAAAAAAAAAAAAGAATATTATATTTAATTCATGTTTTAACAGTTTTAAAACTCCAATAATATTGTAATACCCTATAAAAAATATGTACATCCAATCGATATTATTATTATTGAAAACTATACAATCTTCGTTTGTTTTTTGCCGTGCATTATTTCCATAAAAATGATATTTCTGAGAGTTTTGTTTTTATATAATATCTAGTTAGGCAATTGTTTATGAGAGCTTTTCTCAGTCCAAATGGGCACACAATAAGTATTTAAGAAGCCCGGTTGTATTTGATTTACATCTTAATGAAAAAAAAAAAATACATACAATTTATTTATAATTTTGAAACTCCCATAGAAAATACGGCTGAGATCTTCTTAATAGGGCTTATTAATGGTCTTGTTTTTAACTTTTTAAATATAATTGATAACAAATTTAAAACATATGAGAACACAGTTTAATCGGTTTGAAATTTTAGTTTTGTAGATATTTTTTTTATTGCGGAACAGGGCCAATTTGAATAAAGAATATATTAATTTAAGTTCAAAGTGAATTCAACACAACAATATTAGTCACTATTATGATTTAATAAAACATAATAGAAAAACCCAACAAAAATGTATTTTTCAATATTTTGAATGTGAAAATTTCAAACTCATAACCCCAATTATGAAATTTGTATTTTTAAACAAAAGTATCGAGAATTGACATATTATGAAAATCGAACATAGAATTTTAAAGGCTTGGTACAATATTGGATTACTTTACGCTTTAAAATAATTGTTATTCTCAATGCCTATATATATTCATAGCATCCGGCCATGGACTCTGTTTACGGGTATCATTTGTATTGTGCGTCATGTTTTATAATAATAAATATTAAAATTGTTTAACAATCACTCGAATTTGTACTGTTAACAATAATTTACGCTGGATAAAATGTTGTGTATCTATCTGATGTTCAACCAAGTTTAACCCAAAAATATACACAAAACAGCAAAAATGCTCGTGTAAAAATCATTTGATAGAATTTTCTTAAAAAAAGAGAACCGAACCAATAATGTTCAAAAACTACAAACATATGGACAATTAATATCCTCGGGGCTGAGTTTGACATAACAATAATTATACGTAAAGACAAACCAACAATTATTGCGCCGATTATATTAACTAATAATGCAAATGGTAAAATACATTATATATATATATACACATAATAATATATTATTATTTGTCAATCAATCAATTTATTATTAAAATATTAATGCATATTTATACTGAAAAACTGACAAATTGATAAAATATAGATAGTTATTGGGTATTATAATTTGTTTGCAAATTATTAATTATGAATGAACGCTCCATCCGAACGACCTGTACGATACGAAATTCACTATAAAACAGGTAAGGAAAACATTTTCATAGTAATACGCAGAAACTCAGAAATTTCAAAATAATATTGTGATTTATTAATATAATATTAATATAAACAAATTAAAGAAAAGCATATAAAAATATTATGTCCATGTATACTTTCTGAAAAATAGTTATGTACGTAATGTAAAGCATCGAATATTGACAACCAATGGTTTATAAACCATATAAATAATATATAGCTAGTTAAAGCAAAGGGTTCAAGCTAAAAGCTAAATGTGATCTTATATTTATTCTTTTGTTTTATTATTTTCAATGAAGTGCATTGTGAAATATTCGAAGCAACGCATTATTTTTTTTATGAATAATCCTCGATAATATACAGTGTATTCCATGATCGAACTCACGGGGGAAGTTCGTAGAGTTCCCCCCCCCCCCCGTATTTATTTTAGATTCGGAGCCTAGCATGAGACCTATTGGTTTTACTATGATGAGCGTTTTTTTTATTTGTCTGTTAATAACTTTTCGATAAGAAATTTTGCTCAAATTTATAAAGTGTAGTACCCTTTCTGAAAGGGAATTTTCTATATAGTTGGTAAATTAAACGGGTAATTTTTTTGATTTTCAAAGGGGTTACTAAAATAATTCAGAAAACCCCGAAAGAAAATTATAAATAAAATAGCAAATATTTACGGCGATACCGTTTTCATTGTTTTTATGTTTTGTTCACAGTGTGTTCTACTAGAAATCGAAAAATGACAAAAATTTAATTTGATATCTTTTAATATATAACTACCGATAAATAAAGTAATTTTTTGAAATCTAAAGGAGTTTTTATAATAAATGGAAAAAAAGAAAAAAGTGATTTTTTCAAATTATTCACGAATCGACGATTTCATTATTTAAAATTTTAAGATTATATTTTTTTATTAGAAATCTTTGTCCCGATTTCAAGAATAGCTTATCGTCTGAAAGAAAATTTTGTCTTGTTTGTGAGTTAAACAATTTTTGTTTAATTTTCTTTATAATTTCCCTAATAATTAAAAAAATCCGGATAAAATGTAGAAAATACTGCAAAGTGTTTGAGATTATTATTTTTTTTATTTATTAAAAATTATTATTTTTTTCATAAGCATTTTAATTTAAAGTTTGTCGAAAATCGTATAAATGACAACATTTCATAATACGTCTTACCGAAATTCACTTCAAACTATTTTTCGTTAGCAATGGTTTATTGTAGCGTACAGATATAAATTAAATAACTTTCTGTATCCTATACGTTCTCTACTTCCCACCTATAACAGTGGCATTCGTCTCTAATATGTGTTCTTTTTGTTAATAATGTTGTAATTATAAAAAAAAAAAAAGGCATAATTAGGAGGTTGAACACCAAAAGTCCCCATACATATTTTTCTAGAAATTATCAATAATCCATACCCTCTCCTCCACAAAATTCTTAAGAGCGTCATTGGACTGTGTCTTGTGATATATGTGCCACGGGAATTTTAGAGTCGCATTTTACATTTTGACTTTATGATTTTACCTGACGATGACAATACACATATCATAAAACTCCTATTATATATTCTTTTACCATTTTATTAGAGAATCATAACACAAAATATTTATATTATCGCATTATTCATATTAATTTCATTGTTATTTGTCCTTTTTTTTTTTTTTTAACGCTGAAGCCATTTAAAAAGTTTGGTTATTAAGAGTGGTGAAGAATATTTAAATGTTTATTTACTTTGTATATATCATTATATATTGTAAATAGCATGTAAGTATAATTACATACAATATAAAAGAATATATGAACAGCTATTTCAAGGAAATATATTGAAATAATGATAAATTTCGTTTGTTATTTACAATAAATAAATAATATTTTGTTAATATAATATTATATACAGTATGAAAAAAAAAATAATAATAATAATATTTACCTACTGGCTACAATTAAATATCCGTGGTACAATGGTACAATAACTAATACAACGCATTGCGTATTTATCGGAAAACTGTAATTTCCTAAGTAATTTTTTACGAAAAAGTAGGCACCTATAGGTTTATTTGAGGGTTCATTTAATTTTATTTGATATTTATTTATAAACTACCTACGTAAGACATCTACAAGAAACTTCAATTAGAGAATCGTTACACAAACCATCAGCAGCTTCGCGATTCGAAGAATTATAAATTAAAATATTAAATTATTGAATTTTTCCATTTTAAATTGTATTACTTGAGACAGCGTGCCGCTGTAGTGCGTACAATACACAGAAATAATCAGAAGGGGAGATTATTTTTTTATGTAATTTACAAAAGTAAATAAATATCAAAAAACAGAAGAGAAAAAATCTAAATAATTCGAAAAACTAACGAATTATATAAAAATAATAAAAAATGTCTAATCACAATTTTTTTTTTTTTATGAATATTGAGCGTAGAAATTATAACTGAAATATGTCTCTTTTCTTTTATGGGTCTTTAAATAACTTTTCTAGGGAAAGTCAATTGTAGTTTAATAGAGAAAAGTCGAAGAAAAACATGAATATTTATGCAATAACTGTTACTATTATTTTTTTTTTCTTTTTTATATTGTATACAACGTATTTTCATATCATAATTTTTTTTAGCACCTTTTTAATGGGTTAAAATATTTAAAACACCCTGATATTATTGTGTTATTTAAAATCTAAAAAAATCACGGCATTTCGCGTGCGCTAAATTTGTCTTTTTATGTGAATAAAACTTTTTCGGCTCCATGTAAATGATCAAAAATTGTATGCGAAAAACACGGAGTTGTAATTTATTTTGTAGACACAAATCAATACAACTTTAAATTTAAATTTATCAAATCATGTTTAAATAAACTTCTCAAAGAATCGTTATTGTTTTGCAATGATTTGCTTAAAGATATTAAAAAAATAAACCTACCTCCCGCCAATATCAGTAGCCTGAAAATTGTGTAAATCAGATGCCCGTAAATTGGTTTAACATAGATTTAATTATAATATATTATATAAATAACGAAATTTATCCTACACTATATTAACATAAACTATCAATATTAAAATACATAAGTTTACGTATAGCCGTTGACGTGATGTGTTTCGGGTAACACTCAAAATAAAAAATAACGTTTTTCACAATGAAGACGAAATACTTGACCTAAACTTTGTATCCGTACGTGACCGATAGGAGTTATTTTCACGGTGAATAATGGTTATTTTATTTTATAGATTACATTTCAGTAAAAAAAACACGTCTAAAGAGGAAAAATGTTTTCATACGTTATTTCGTTGGTATATTGTAAAATAATTTGTACAATATCAGAATGTGTGGTCTTTGACCAAAATTGATTGCGTATACAGGTGATAGGTGGTAATGGTATATAATCTTTTTTTTGTATTTCGTCTCTGTCGTCCGTTGCATTAAAATACCTATTACAACCAGTCTTACGTAGGCAGTTTTTCTACTATATTTCTATTAATTTTCAGTGTATTCCTATACTGTGTGGACATCGCAATGGTACTGTTAAACAAATGTATACTAATATGTGTTATATTGCATTCAACATTTGGATATCCACAATACCGTAAGTTCCCTATTTCACTATATTAATAATACTTCCTATTAATGGGTTAAAACACGTCTAATTTTCCATACGTTTTAGACAAACGGTAAGAAATTATTCATATTTTCCAAAGGCTGATTTTAATTTTTAATGTATGTATGAATTAATGAACAAATTGATTAAATAGTTGATGATAAAAGATAAAAATTAGTTTTCAAATTTTATAAAATTGGACCAAATTTTTTAACTCCCTTGACTAATACTATTTTTAAAAATGCGTATTTTAATATTCTTAAACACGATTTGTACGTTTCAAATAAGTTCATATTACAATGTTATATAATGGAGACAATCACGACACATTCACAATCCTTCCATTATCATACGCAATAGTATTAATATCCTAGTTTCTCGTCTGTAACAACTTTTTCAACGATTTAACTTTAATGGAACGTATTGCAACCTATTAGGCGATTTAAAGAACGTTAGTTATAGTAACGATGTTGTAACATAATAGTAAATTTATTTTTGTCAAATAAAAACTACTCAATAAATTAATAATAAATGTGTACAGTTTGTGTTGAAACATACATAAGTACTTTTTTAATGCCTAATATATTAATAATATGTATAAATTTAATAATAATAAGCACAAATTGTATACCTACGGAAATTTCTGGTTAAGTGATGTATAATTATAATTATATTGTTACATAATTTTTATTTTGTATTAATCAGAAATTTAATTTATATTTAATGGGTATTAATATTATTTTCTGCAAAATTTCAAAATATTAGTATTATTATTATTACTTATAGTAATAATATAATGAATCAAAATATTGTATAGAATATAGCTAAACATTTAATATACAAGACTAATATCAATTTTAATTTAATTTTATGACATAACTTCAGCTCAGTAAAAATTATACCTATAGGTAACACTTAGTAATATTTTACTAATTATAAGTTTATAACTTGTAACTCTGGGAAATAAATAATATCGTACATTAGAGTTAATAATTATTTACTACACATAATATTAATTTTTAAATACTCGTTAATTCGATCAATAATAGAATCAACGGTACGCAGTAAGAAAATTATTTTCGTAAATTTTCCCATTTCTTTACGAATTTTTTGCTTTTGCTCAATAATTAAATTCTCTGTCGGAGCAATATTAATGATAGAAAATATAAATCATACAAATTTTAAATAATGAAATCGTTGTATTGTGTGTAGTAATTTGAAAAAATCGTACTTTTCGTTTTTTTTTTTTTGTTTTCCCAATTATTTTGAAAAATACTTTATATATCAAAAAACGACTATTTTTATCAGTGGCGATTTATTAAAAGTAACTAAATTGATCTCTTCTCATTTTTCGATTAGAGCAATATTTCCTGTAAATAATATAAGTTACACAAATTAAAAACTATAAAATCAGTATCGGCATGCCGTAAATATTTGCCGTTTTACCTATAATTTTCTTTTGGGTTTTACCCAATTATTTCAAAAACCTCTTGAAAAATCAAAAATTAATCTTTCTGATGTATCAACAACCTTTTATTTCCGAAAAGGTACCACACTTTATACTTTACAGCAAGATTTTTTTCGACAATTTGTTTACAGACAGAAAAAATAAAGCACTCATAATAATAAAACCAATCGATCCCTCCCTACGCATAGATAGATCCTTCGCAACTCTTAGAATCCAAAATCTTTGGAATTATAATTTTCTATATAGATTATAGATATACACTACCTAATAGCTAATACAGATACTATATACTATACACAATATACATACGTGATATGTCATAAATCATAATACATAAATTCTATAAAATTGAATAAAAAAGTTATTATAAATATTATTTTACACAGACAAATTTGTAGTGAAGTTAATACATTTACATATTTCACATATTAAACTTCTTTTTACCATTTTAGCACAAAATTACAATGAATCGTCAACAACGGAAAATATTTCTTCAAGTATTCAAGGAGAACTTAAGAAAATAACATCGCCTACAGAAGACTATTCAATATCATCAAAGCCGCCTGATGTTTCATTTGCAGACACCAACAATAATATTTCTTCCCCTACAGATATTTCAACTGTACCTACCAGCCCTGGAGAAAATTCATCTTTGGCGCAAACTCCTACAGATAATTCAAATTTATCCTCCAGCACTGAAGTATACTTGCCACCATCGCTAACAGCTACACAAGTTCCAAACACAACAATGACACCGGTAATATATTCTACGTTACCACAAATTCCAACAGAAATTCTAAACGTATCCCCGAGTTCTGAAATATATTCATCTTCACCACAAACTCCTACAGATATTCCGATCATATCTTCTAGCTCTGAATTATACCCATCAACACAAGCTCCGACAAAAATTCTAGACACGAAATTGGACTCTGAATTAGATTATTTTTCACCACAAACTTCGACAGATATTCCGATTATATCTTCTAGTTCTGAAGTATATTTATCTACACCAAACACTCCTTCAGAAATTGTAAACACAAAATTGGACTCTGCAGTGTATTCATCTTCACCACAAACTCCGAAAGATATTCCGATTATATCTTCTAGCGCTGAAGTATATTTATCTACACCGAAAACTCCTTCAGAAATTGTAAACACAAAATTGGACTCTGCAGTATATTCATCTTTACCACAAACTCCGACAGATATTCTTAACACAAGATTTAACTCTCAAGTGAATTCATCTTTACCACAAATACCTATAGATATTCCAATAACATCTTTTAACTCTGAATTACACGAAGCGCCATTATCAACTACTACAGGAATTCCAAAACCATTTTTAAGCCCTGTATTATATGCATCTACACTACCAACTACTAGATACATTTCAAACACAGCCAGCTCTGGTTTATATCCATTATTTTTACCGACTAAAACAAAATATATTTCTTCGGTAACTTTAAGGTCTGGAATTTATGCATCTCCTACACCAACTACTATAAGACCAATTTCGACCATACCTTCTAACATTCCGAGATATACAAGCATAGCTGTGCCAAAAATATCTAAACAAATTGAAATAACAACTTCAAATTCTAAAGCGCAATATGCCCCGACGACGCCGTCTACAATACGAAAAATTCCAAATACACTAACGTACTATAGTAAATTCCCAACTCCATCTATAAGAGTCACACAACCACCCTATTCACAGATTTTTTCAAATTCATCGAGGACACGGTTAAACGTAAAACTATGCCAAGAATTTTTCCCCCATTATTATTTGTGTGATACTCCGAAAGCTACATACGTAATATATATGCCTAATAAAATGTCTAAAATGAATCCAATAATATTATAATATTCTAATGATACATTGTAAACCGTTATCGAAAATCACTTATATTATGTCATTGTCTAATTGAATTCTATTTAAATAGTTGTATGATTATCATAAATCTCTAACATGTATTAGACTTAATATGTATCTAAATATTTATATTATTTTTTTTTTATATATTTCTATTATAATTTCCATCGTATATTATAATATACAATTATTTTATTTTAATACACACCCTTAACTATTATACACATTAAGAGTATACTTCAATGTTAAATATGTCATTGCTATTAGTTCTGGGTGCCAGTTGATTTATATTCATTTTCCGTTCTTAAACATCTAGACGGTTTAATGGCGATAAACAATATAATAAAAACGTCTTCTTCGAACTTTTTCTTGTAAATAATAATGCAAAATACGCATAATGAACGGGTCATATTTCCTGTCTGGAGTAGTCTGTGTGTATGCGTAAATTTATACTATTTCACAATTTTTGGCATGCTCCTCCAACTGGATAAACAGAATAGATGTAGAATTATTATTTAAGATAAAATTATTCAGTTGGAGGATTAAACAAAATAACGGATGAACAGTATCCTTTTTTTTATTTATATATTTCTATAATGTGCATAGTATATTTTACATGTGTAGACATCAATATATTATCACTTTGCATACCTATTATTATTAATACTATAAAAAATATATTATTGAATTGTTCTCATTTGCCTATTTATGTAATAATACGTCGACAAATTTTAAGATAATACTTTTTCTCACTAAAACTTACATTTGTTAAAAATGTTTTTATATCAAAAACTTTGTTTGAAAAAAATTATTTGTTTACGAAAATAACGTATAACGTATAGGTACTAAAATAAACAAAATTAAGCTTAGTAAATTATTTACCTAGCCTCGATTATAAAAATTATACAATTTGGTTATAATATTATAAAAGTAGCAGATATCAATAACTAATAGTGTTCGTTACACAATTTAAAGAAAATAATATTCTAAACTAAAATATCGTAATCGTGTCAAATTAATGCCTAATGCATTGTTCAAATTCTTAAACAAAAAATGTATTAAATTGTTATAATTTATCGAAAATTCCATCACACAGCATGCATCTAATTATTATAACGCAGTCTAGATAAAATACTATTTTGAAATTACTATAATAAAGTTAGATTTAAGTAACATGTTTTCATGTAAATTTTAAGTTAGACATTTTTTAAATAGGAAATAGTTTTTGTTATTACTTATTTCTTTTATTTATGTTATTCGATATCTATATTGGATTAAATATCTTTATATATATATATAATATAGATACTTGTTTTAACCCTAAATAAAATATGTGTAAAACGACCCGTGACTAAAATATTCCATACAAATATAAATTTATTTTTGACCATTTGTATAATATTAAAAAAAATATGTGCTTTGTGCAAAAAAAATATGTAACAAAATAAAAAGATATATACACATATTAAAATAAATATGGACTTGACATTAGATTTTTGAAAATTAATTAATTTTATTCAAGTATCAATTTATCTTTTTACATAATTTTGAAAATTTGTTTTAACCTTCTTACTCCAAACAACAGAAATATCGAATTACTGTAACAACAATAAATGCATGTATTGTATTGTAATTGTGTTATTTAATTTATTTATGAACACAATTACACAATTTACTGGTATTATAATAAAATTTAAGATAATAATATCGCTCGCGTTTTTTTTTTTGTATTGGTAGCAAAAATATTCGTATAGAAATAGGTAAGTGCATTTCATATTGTCTATCATATAAGAACCTACACTAATTTAATTGTTAATTATATTTAATTATTTAACTTTTATTAAAAATTTATCTACATCAGTACATTAATATAAAATATGATGAGTATGGATACCTATTGTAATTTTATAAGATATTATTATAAAAAAAAAAATTTTACTAAAACTTGTCCGTAAAGACTTATATATAATAAACGTCCACAAACAACACTCTTATTCATAGTTTATTTCCGGTCGGAAATATATACCACCAATAGTTTTGCTCGTAAATCATTTTTCTACTAGGTAGTAAAACTTTTATGTACGCGTCTGTGATAAATGGGTTTATCTAATCTATTATTTCACTGTGTTAAATAAAAAAAAATAATAGTTATGCATCCAAAACATAATTCCAAATAGCAGTCACTTAAAGCAACTCTAGATTAATAATATTGTGCTCTTTACCTAATATTGCTCGTCAACGATTTAATTAAATTTAGAATATGGAATTTAAAGTATATAAGTATAAAATGACAACGATACCTACCTAATTAGTTTTTTTTTTTTTAACACCCGTTACAAGATTTTAGTATAGGTAGAAAATTATAAACAATTTAATTGAGTAGACAAGATATGATAACAGGCCAAGTTCCAACAAAATTATGCTAGTATATCTCTACTTGAACCAATTAATACGGTTTAACTTACCCTCGTATCTCTGTTTCCTCTTAAATTAAGTTTTTAAGTTAAAAATAGATTAAGCATAAGTAGTTTAAAGAATTTCAAACTTGTAGTTTAGTTACTGACTGACTGACTATCTTACTCAATCGTTACCAAAATTGTAAAACACCTCTCGCATAGGTAGAATGGTAGAAACATGCAATTTGACACAAAGGCAAGTATTATAGTGTTAATAAAAATATATAAAAAAAAATCTGAAAATTTAAATTTTCTCAAATTAGTTCCACTTCAGGGAGGACGGTTCTAAATACTTGAAGTGTATACTGAACATATAAGTAAATTAATTTTTCATCTATTGATTTAAAAAAAACGAATTTAAATTTTATTTAAACGTTTCACGTTCTAATGTTTTGTTGTAAAACAAATACCTTACATACCTAAGTCTCGACATTGTTTTATAGTTAAGAAAAGTACTGTGTACTGGTTTGGGCCAGAAGCTCTCACAGTAAAAAACATCGATACACAACTAAACCATACTATGAGAATTATATCAGAAATTGTAAAAAGTATGATAATAACAGATTTCTGCTCCGTCAAAACAAACGCCTTCTTTTAAACAATGTATTTATTTCCTGTTTTCGACTATTTTCAACGGAACTTTAATGTTTTATTCCCGATAAACGCCTTACCGACAACGGTGATACGTGAGGGTGCTATTGTTAATTAAATTATTCATTTAGTTACGGCACAAACTTATACTATATGTGAGATGATACATGCGTTCAAATACTTGATATAATTGTTATAATATCCCGAAATTAACAAATTGAACTAATATAAATCAAACTCGGTGACCTATATAAACCTGAACATATTTCAACGTACTTATTGAAGCCAACAAATGGTTATGATATCCCCAACAAAAACTTAATCCCGAAGTCAAGTCTCAAAACCACTCCCAAAAAAGTTAGTTTATCACAGTAATAGTACCAAAATTTTGACAAATATATTCTATACTTCATTCAGAAACCGGCATAGTACTAATTAATACAAATAAAAGAGCAATATTGTTCATGAAAGTTGGATTGAAGTAAATTTATTGTCTAAAGAAAGAGCAGACTTGCCCACAATATAGATATCACTACTTTGATTGGCTAACTTTATGCCTGAGACTTGATCCTTGATATTTTTGGAGGATTCACATTACTCCACGAACCTCCAAAGAATTTAAAAAATTATAAGGTGCATGCTAAATAGTAAAAATAATGTGTGAACCTATGTATTTCAATATTCATATAAATCTTCATAATATCCAATGAGAGCTGATGATAGGTAAATACATGGGGGGGGGGAAGTTGAAATCACTGCTTCAAATATATTCACATTCGTTCTTAGCCAGTGGAGAACAATATTAATTGTTTCATAATTTGTATAATTTCAATTCTTTATGTATATCATATGAAATATATAATCATTGCATATATTAAATATATTCAGTTAATTTTAATACATTTTAGTAATGAAATAATTATATTTAATTAGTTTTATGAATTACTTTTTAGAATATAAAAATGTATTAATGTAATAGGTACATATAAATGTATATTTGTATATTTCTTAGATAATAATTTTGCTTTACATGCACAAATCACGATTGCGAACATAATAACTTTTGTATTAATAAAATTGAATATATAATCCCGTTTTCATACATAACCTAATATTATTATCGTCGTATAAAGTGATGTTCTTACTATAGTAAAAGATTCAGATATTAAAATATAGGTACTGCTGTATGTTAATTAATAAGATATCCATCGCACTTTGTATATGCATATAAACAAAGTCAAAGTTAAAAATAAAAAACCCTCGGGCATTTAAAGTTTTCATAAATCCCTGTATAATAATAATAATATAATATAGTAATGACGAACTGTACATTAAAATATAATATTTTAAAAACCATAATAAGAATAAATATTCATGAAGCTTGATTCGCCTTCGTGGATTAAAAAAAAAAAAGTATAAAGAACGAAAAAAAAAAAGATGTGGCAAAAAAGGTTCCGTGATGACAATTACTGCAGTAGGTAACAATATTTTAAATACTCGAAATAATAATGATATCCGTAGCCAAGTAACAATAATCTAACAATTTCCTAAATGATTATCTTCTTATTAGCATAAAATTATTCACCCGCGTATATACTTGGCCGATGGGGTAGAAAATTGACCGTAAAATATGGTAATTATTAGAACAGATACTTTGAGGATTTGCTAGTGCTTCTGCAAATTTTTTTTTATCGGTTAGTCAAAAAAAAAAAAAATATAATAATACTAACTACTAGTTCAACACAAATATGCTTCGCATGACCATATAAAAATTCACCATATATTAATTAAACTACAATTTTATTTTCGTATTATCGGGGAAGCATATTTAATTGTTTTGCAACATAGTTTTGGAATATATATTTTAGGAATAAGTAATATTTTTAAAACATAATTGCTCGCATAAATTAATAGGTGTTTAGGACATAGTATGGATTTAGTCCCAAGGAAGAAAAACTAATTTTTTTTCATTTTTGTTGTATTATTTTCTGTATTATTATTTTCCAATCTAGTCCTCCATTCAATGGCACCACGGCCTTTTTAATTACATATCTTCCCATATCAAAAGAGGTCTCACCAGTTATCTTTGTAATCCCCGGTGACGAACTGGATTTTCATACATGATTATACATATAAGTTGGTTATGACTTCATTACGCATGCCCAGCACACCGTAATCATTGACTTCTGATTATTATTAATACTTTATCCTTCTAAAAAGCCTTTAGTAATAATAAATTCAACTATAAAGTATACAGTATATTCAGTTCTGCATGAATCTTAACTGCTACCAATGAATAAATTAAATATTGCCAACTTATAAATATAATCAGTTTTTTGTACATAAAAATGTTCCACCTCCTCCAATCTCATTAAATATGCCATCCCTGGACAATCGATGAAATCGACTTTAAAACGTATTTGGATAAATTAACAAATTGGCCAACAAAATATAAATAACTGTACCTATGAAAAATCTGTAATAATAATTAAATTATTATTTAATTAATTTAGACGGATGAATAATATTGATTATTATTTTTTGAAAAAAATTATAGTACCGATTATTATACTACCCAAAAAATATGTATTATAATTTATCCGACGATTTACATTGTTTAGATTCTGAGTGGAGCGAGAAATCTGTTGGTTTTACAATATGCTTATTTCTTTTTTTGTGAACAACTTTTCTAACAGTAAAGTTTTACTCCTATTTACAATGATAGCACTTTTTCTAAAACGAAATCTTACTGGAGAAGTACTTTAGAAAGATCTTTTTTTGATTTTTTTAGGAGTTTTCCTGAAAAATGGGAATCAATAAATGGGAAAAACTAGGGAAAACACATGGGAAAACCGGAAAAAACATAGGAAAAACGGAAAAATAGATACAATATATTAAACAAAATATGTAATATATAATGCACATTATGTAATTATTTTACCATAATGCAACATTTATATTGTCGACAAACCAACACTATTTACCAAACTCCGCTCAGAATCGTTTTTCGTTTGCAATATCTTATCGTTGCATATAAATATGCATTCAATTTCCCCTCCTTACCTTTCCAACTTCTCGCCTATAACAGTGTCTGTACCATAAAATTAAATTATCCTGGAACAGCCTTTTAAAACGAATACTACACTACACTATCTAATATCTGTACTATTTTAATATTTTATAATAATTGAGAATAAATCTCTCCCTAAAATTAAACTCTGGCTACGTGTCTATAAGCCATAATACATGAACTTATATTTCTGCATATATTAATGGATATTTTCTTGATAGAAATTTAATTTTTCGAATATCAAAAATCATCTCCATCAAAACTTATACAAATTTAGAATCTAATTTTTTTTAAAAATTGAAATCCGTAAAACCATACCCTCACACAACATTTTTCTGACTTAAATTCGACCAGCATCGACTTCTTTCAATAAAAATTATATTTAGAATCACGTAGCATCGTCAATTTTTCTAGTCGCTTAGAATACACCAGATTTTTAAAATTACAAATTATACTTAATAATTTTTATTGAAACTTCTGAAAAAATTAAAATGTAACAAAATAATTTATTA